CTGCCCCACCTGCTGGCCGCGGTGGTACCTGACGGTACCCCGCTGTGCTGCCTGAGGCTGGGCCACTTCCGGCTGGATCCCGCAGGCCTGCGCGGCTGCAGCCAGCTGGCCCCCCTCACCAGCCTGACCGTCGAGGGGTGCGGCTGCGGCGGTGCCGGCGCCGGCGCCATCCTCGGCGTCGGCATCGACCTGGCGGGGCCGGCAGGCCTGGCGGCCTTGTTCCAGCAGTGGGTGGGCAGCCTGGCGCTGCAGTACGGCAGCAGCAGCGACCGGGAGAGGCTGGCGGCGGGCATGGGGGATGCGCTGGCGGCGATGCTGGAGCAGGCGCCGCAGCTGGAGGAGCTCGACCTGACTGGCAGCCTGGGCGGCGTGCTGCCGGGGTGCGTGCTGGGCGCCACCGGCCTGCGCCGCCTGGCGCTGTGCAGCAACCAGCTGTCGCAGCTGCCGGCAGGGCCGGTCCTGTCAGGTGCGGGCGGGAATGAAATGGCTGTTTTGGCTGCTTGTTTGTGAGAGGCATGGCGGGTGCGGGGGCGTCGGCGTGAGTGGTGACAGAGCTGGAGCTGCCCTGCGTCCTGCTGCCTGTCAACCCTCTCCCCAACCCAGCAGCTGGGGCATGTTCCTTACTGCAGGCCTGACTGAGCTGGACCTCACGGGAAACACCCTGACACGCCTGCCCCCAGCGCTGACCGCCGCCACAGCGCTGCGCCGCCTGCTGCTGGCGCGCAATACGAAGCTGGCGGTGACGAGCGCTGACGTGGAGCACACTCTCCAGCGCCTGCCCAGCCTGCAGTTTCTCGATGTGATGTGGACGCAGACGGCGCCAGACGTGCTGCAGCGGCTGCGCAGCAGCCTTCCGCAGCTGGAAACGAAACCAAAGCCGCCGCCACCCACACCTTAGACTCACAACAGCTGCTCAATCGACTTCAGTGCATGACACAGAGGCGTGCAAGTTTGCTTCGGTCCATCAGCTGTACCAGTCTGCTCCTGATTGTCTAATAAGCTCCGCCCTCAAAGGCACCGCCCTGGCACAGCGCCCGCGCCTCGCCGCCAGCAGGACGGCGGCAGACCTTCACGATGCAAGCGCAGCTTGCCCCGATGCGAGCTGCCTGTGACTTTGATTCTTCTTCCTCTTCTACAGGGCTCCCTCTGGGATAAGCAGGCAGCCCATCGAGATGGTGGTAGCGGAAGGCGCCCAAACAACGCACATAGACGCGCTGCCAGACCAGCTGCTGGGCCAAATCTTTGCTGTAATTGGGCGCGGCCACTTCGGGTGAGCGCGCGCAACAGACCGCCGCCTCCCGCCTCCCGCCTCCCGAGGGAGCTCCCGCCGGCCTGTGCCCACAGGTACCTCAAGCCTGCCGTGCCGCCTCCGCCACTGCAGGCAGACGATTGCGCTGGTGTGCCGCCGCTGGCGCCACGCCTACTTCTGCGCGCAGGGCGTGTGGGGCAGGCTGTGCCTGGACACAATTGAACCCATCATGCTGCAGCCAGGCGACCGATTGCGCTGGTGCGCCGCCAAGCTGCGCCTGTTGGCCCGCGTGCGCGGTGCGGTGACGGCCGTGGCCATCTGCGACCGCCGCGGGGTGCTGGCCCGCCTGGACCCCGCCAGCGGGTTGGATGCCGTGCACATGCTGGGGTGCCTGCTGCCAGAGCTGGTGACGGAAGTGGAGCTGGAGGTCCACCCTGCGCCCACCACCGCCACCATCGCCGCGCTGACGCGCTTCACCCGCCTCGCCTGCCTCGCGCTGGACGCCCCCGGGCTGCCGTTGGAGGCGGCGCCGGGGCAGGCGCTGGCAGCTGCGCTGGCCGCTGCGCCCGGCCTGCGCTCCCTGCGCCTGTCGGTGCAGCGGCTGCCGCGGGAGGCGGCGCCCGCGGCGCTGCTGCGCCTACATGAGCTGGAGCGGCTGGAGCTCTGGTCCCACGCCGCGCCGCTGCCGCCGGGCCTGGACCAGCTGGCGGCCCTGCGCCGCCTGCGCCACCTGCGCCTCGTCGACGACAGCCAGCGGCAGCCCTCGCTGCCCGGCGCCCCGCAGCAGGGCCCCGGAGCAGGCGCGCAGCATGGCGCGCCGGGCGCCGCCGCCGCCTCGGGGCACGCCCCGCTGCGGCCGCCGCTGCCGCGCGACTGCCCCTGCCTGGAATCCCTCAGCATCTGCACCAGAGACAACCTGTGTGAGGTGGGGCTGCTGCTCCCAGCCTGCCCGCCTGCCTGCCTGCCTCTCCCCGCCTGCCTGCCCCTCTGCCGTGCCCACCGGGCTCCCTGCTCAACAGGCGGGCAGGAGCCTGTGTCTGTGCAGGTGGCGGACGCGCGGCTGGGCTTCCTGTTCTGCCACCTGGTCCGCCAGCCGGGCGGTGGCGCCAGCCAGGCGGCCGTCACGCTGGATGCCCGCGCTCCCCTGGTCGGCCTCGGCTCCCTGCGCTGCCTGCTGGCTGCGCTGCTGCCCGCCGCCACCCCGCTGCTCTCCCTGCAGCTGGCTGGCTGCCGGCTGGACCCCACAGGCCTGCACGGCTGCAGCCAGCTGGCGCAACTCAGCGCCCTCACCCTCCAGCGCTGCACCGGCGGCGGCAGGGGGGAGGTGGCGGGAGCGCTGGAGGCTCTGCTGGGCCTGGCTCCACGGCTGGCAGACCTGAGCGTCAGCGACAGCCTGGCGGGCGCCGTGCCGGGCTGCCTGCTGCGCGCCACGAGCCTGCGGCGCCTGGACCTGTGCAGCAACCAGCTGTCGGAGCTGCCGGCAGGGCCGGTCTTGTCAGGTGGGAGCAGCAGCACGGCGAGTGAAGGAGTGTGGTAGGGGCATTGATGCCGCAAACAATGGAGCTGTTCCTCCTTCCCTCTGCTAGTCGCTCGCACCGCTCACAACACTTGCTTGCGGCTGCTTGCAGGCCTGACTGAGCTGGACCTGTCATCCAACAACCTGGCGCGCCTGCCGCCAGCGCTGACCGCCGCCACAGCGCTGCGCCGCCTGCTGCTGGCGCGGAACGAGCGGCTGGCGGTGACGAGCGCCGATGTGGAGCACACCATCCAGTGCCTGCCCAGCCTGCAATTCCTGGATGTGACGTGGACGCAGACGGCGCCAGACGTGCTGGAGCAGCTGCGTAGCAGCCTGCCGCGGCTGGAAGAACACCTGCCGCAGCTGGAACGACGCCCTGCCTGACTGGCTCCCGCTGCTGCCACCGAGTCAATAGTGTTACATTGCAAAGTCTGGAGCAGTGTTGCAAAACAGGGCCGCACACCAATCAGGAATAGCTGTATCATTTAAATAGGAGCAGGGCAAAGGGGCGGAGAGGGAAGTCAGGGGGGGAGGAGGGTAGGGTCAGGGTCGCACAACACTCTAAAGGCCAGGCTGCCTTCACAGCAGGAGAACTGGCATCGATCGGCTCTAGCAAACATCTGCCGCTGACTGGACTAGGACGCAGGAAAAGGGGAGGGGCAAAGCTGCACGCTGACTGACTGGGTTGACCTAGAGACTGCTGCTGCCGCATACGCTGAAGGGCTCTGCCCTGGGGCGCGCTGAGCGGCGCTGTCAGCCGGGTGGGTGGGTGTGGGTGGGCTGCGCGGCCCGCCGCCTCACTCCTCTGTCACCGTCACGCTCTTGGCCAGGTTGCGGGGCTGGTCCACGTTGTAGCCGCGCAGGCAGGTGAGGTGGTAGGACAGCAGCTGCAGCGGGATGATGTTGATGATGGGCTGGATGGCGTCGTCCACGCGCGGCACCTGCACGATGGGGTACTTGCCCGCCACAATGTCCACCATCTCGTCGTCCTCCTCGTTGGCCACCACAATCAGGCGCCCGTTGCGCGCCATGAGCTGCGGCGGGAGGGGGCAGGGGAGGGGGGGAGGTTGTTGGGGCCAGGGGGCAGCCAGGCACGCAGCACCCTCCAGGCGGCTGCCCAGGCCAGCCAGCCAGCCGCACAGGCAGCTGCGCTCCCTGGCAGCATGCTGGGTGGGCCAGCTGCCGCCGCCCTTCTTCTCTGCCTGCCTGCTGCCCTGCACCCCCACCACCCCGCCGCGCCGCCCACCTGCTGGATGACGCCCGCCATCTTGGAGTGCATGGTGTCCATGGTGGAGATGACCACGATGGGCAGCTTGTCGTCCACCAGCGCCAGCGGGCCATGCTTCATCTCGCCCGCGTTGATGCCCTCGCTGTGCATGTACGACACCTCCTTGACCTGCGGGGAGGGCGCGGCCAGGCAGGCCGGGAGGGTGAGGCAGGAGCGGCGGCGGCAGGTAGCGGCAGAAGCGGCGGGCATCTGGAGCCGAGGCAACCGAGACGGTTTCATGCCACTCTGGCATCGGCAGTTGGCAGCTGCCCCCCCCACACACACACCTTGAGCGCCGCCTCCATGGCGGTGGCGTAGTTGCGGCCGCGCCCAAACATCAGGCACGACTGCTCCTCCTTCAGGTCCGCCGCCAGCTGCTTGATCTGGTCGTTCAGCTTCAGGGAGCGGCGCACCATGTCTGCGGCGGGAGGGGGGGGGGCGGGCCGGCCGGCAAGGGGGGTCAACAAACCGATCCCCGCCGGAGCCGAACCAGGCACGCTTGGTCCA